TAATTGTGAGGTTGTAAAAATTAAACTTACAAATGATTGTACAATTACAAAAGTCCAATATGATCAAAAGTGGAAGCTCAAAATACCAGTGGAATTGGAACACAACCCCAAAATTATGGCTGCGCCATCAATACCCAACCTCTTCTCCTTCTTCACACCCTCAAAACCACCATCCGCTCCGCCGTCCCACCTCTCCCTCTCCTCCACCGCCGCCGCCACCACCACCAAAAATCGGTGGGCCCCACTAGTCTACTCAAATGAACTCCAACAAAACCCATTATCCTTATCATCGTCCTGCTCTTCTGATGTCATGTCCGTCGTGTGCCCCTCCCTCGCGTACGCCAACCCCCTATTTTTCCGGTCGGCGTATAATGTCCAGGTAATCGTTGATGAGAACGAGCCGGAGGAGAAGCTACTCGGTCGGTTCCGACGGGAGGTTATGAGGGCCGGCGTCATTCAGGAATGCAAGCGCCGCCGCTACTTCGAGAACAAGCAGGCCGAGAAGAAGCGCAAATCTCGCGAGGCTGCCAAGCGCAATCGTCGCAGGTTTCATTTCTTATTCTCTCTCTTTCGTCCTCAGTTCAGTTAGCTGAATTCTATTCAATATGTTCTGTATATTAGTCTATGAATGTGTGTAGTTTGGCGATTGGTAGATTTTGAACTTCTTTGTGGTTTCTTGTCCCGTTTTGGGTGTGATAAGTTTTTGAAAACTTGGAAATTGCTATAATTTTTAGTCAATTTGTTCCGTGTATAAATCTACATGTACATAATTATTGTATATAATGGATTACATGAGCATGTGGAAGAAATCCGGTAGTGGATGTGAAGCGTGGAAAAGTCAAAAATTGTAGACTACCGATGGATATGCGCCACATGTCAGCTATGTAATGTATTATGTAAATGATTATGTACTTGTAGCATGGTCCTTGTTCTGTATATTGTGTTGTTTGCTTAGCTTTAGTGTATGTTTGGCAAAGTTAAGTGCATATAGGCCGGTTAAGTTTTATTTTGATCTACACATTCATTAGGAATCATAACTTTTATCTACTTTTTGATCACATGGATCATTGTCTACAAGGACATAATAGCTTCGCCAAGAAAGATATTATTGTTTTAATTGCACTCGAGTTTCGGGGATATTTACCCTTTTGTTGTAGACAGTGAAAATCTCCTCTAAAAGGAGAAGATGCCCCTTTTCTTCTCACTCTTTTCAAATTACATTGCACTTTTTCTTGAAGGATAGTTGGTTTGTTAGCATAAAGTTTATTGTCAGACAAAAAATTTGGATGGTGACATGGCCATCTTACCTCCGGAACTGCATTTACAGTGGAGGAAGTGAGTGAGGTTTTTCTCATAAAAATCTAGACGTGAGACTGTGAGAGTAGTGCTGACATCACCAAGAATCCACAAATCAATAGAAGAATCAACACATCCATAGCTTGGATTAAAAGATAAAGAAGGAAAGAAATTTGAGAGATACATATATATATTAGGAAGTAGGAACACACTCTCCACACAACAGCTCACACAACCCCATAAAACTCCTTTCCTATGCTTCCTTATGTTAGGTACACCCAACTTTTCTAACTTGAGGATGACCCAAATAGCTTGCTGTGAGACTTGTAACACTTTTCAAAACAACCAGCACTAGCCATGCAATCTGAAGCGACTGTCCCTTCCCTCTAAATGTGAGAGAAATTGATCTCCATTTTGCTTCATAGTGATCTAGCTCTTTTGAGAAGATAATGAACAGCACAAGGCCAATTAGTTTGTGTTCCAGCAGAGTTTTCTTTTATATCCAAATGCTCTATGTTATTAATATGTTTGCTTTCTTTTCTTTT